ATTTGACTGCGTGTTCAGACACGCGGAATGACGCGGACATTAATGGCGTAGACATATACGCATAGCACAAAATGCGTAGAGATAACACGCCACCTGACTCGAAAGTGGTGTATATGTTTACGCAAAAGTCATGATGTCATGTTGGCATCCTAAATAAAATCGGATGGACAACATTTGTCCCGAGAAAAATGGCGTTCGTCAGGTCCAGTTTTGTGTCCAGCCTCTCACAGGGATTTCGGATGCCCCAACGCCTGTGATGAGACGACTCAACGCCTGTGAAGAGACGACTCAACGCCTGCGATATGTTATGGCGCCGTTTGATTCATAAACAATATTTATATTTAATATTTATATTTAAACAATATGAATGTAAGCCAGAGGAGAACTGGCCCCCGACTGAGCCTGGGTTCTCCCAAGGTTTTTTCTCCATCCAATCTGATAGAGTTTGGTTCCTTGCCACTGTCGCCTTGCTTTTGGCTTGCTTTGGGCTTGCTCAGTTGGGGTTATTTAGTGTTTAGCAATGTTGTTGATCTGTGTTGTGCTACTTTCATGTTATCACTGTGAAGCTGCTTTGATACAATCTGTATTGTGAAAAGCGCTATATAAATAAATGTGACTTGACTTGACTTGACAACATGTTATGGAGTTGCTGGATGAGAGGACAAGGAGGTTTACGTTTAAGGTGTGGTCACATTAGCAACCATGTTGTCAATATAGTATAGTGATGTGTGAGGCGCAGCTTTAGGTAAATGTGAACCCTTTGCGAAATCTGCATGGGTATATCTTTCGCCCTCATGCAAAACTGACTGGATTTTTACAGAAAACGTGCAGAACAACAATAAATGTGATTGCACCTACTGAAATATAAGTTAACAGTTTTTGCAGTTTTGAGCTTCTTTTCTGTCAGTCTTTGTTCTGTTTTTGTTGCATTCTTTTGTTCTGTTCTTGTTTTTGGAAGTCCAGCATCCTGAAAACCATTGTTTTATCTTAAGTTTGTGAATAAACCTTAACTGCTGCAAATGGTTACGTGCACTATTTGCCGCAGTTATGCACACTTTATTTCTTTCACTCGAGCCTGACAAAAAGTCTGACCAGGTGCGTGAGCCATGTAGAAACAGTCTCCAGTGGATATATTGGTTGGAGTGGAGCCCTGTCCCTTTGACTACGGTGGATGTAAATGCATTGAACTCAGGACCCCTTATATCGTTTGAGGAGTATGAAGAGAGCACAATGCCTGTTTCATGGCCCAGCGCACTGTTACTGATGTCTTTGATGTTCTCACCTCCTCTGCCTGTTCTGAGTCGGCCTAGAGAGCCGTTCCTGAGAATTCAGCCTATTCCGAGTCGACCAAGCAAATCAGCTTAGGGTTATGGGATGGACAGGCCATGAAGTCTTTAATTAACCCCCCGTCCTCACTGCTTCTCGTCATCCCTTCGTCTCCTCCAATGATGTCTGTTCTGTGCTTTGTGGATCCGCCTTAGTCTGATAGTTCGCCAACTCGACCCTGGACCGTTGACCCGTTTGCTCCCCCAAGAACCTCCAAGCCTGTCACTCAAGCTCGGCCCATCGACCTGTCGACTTCACCATGACTCCTCGCGCCCTTGGCTCTACCGGTGACGTTCCTATGGCTCTGCTTTGGTCAGTTGTCGCTCTGCCATCACCAAGGACTTAAGGGCCTTCATCGTTGACTTGTCCTTCCTCCCGTTCGTCTTCGTTGGGCTCCTCCTTCCCTCCGGCTTCACCTCAGTCCTCCGGCACACTCCTGGGGCGGCAGTGGCTCAGTGGTTCATGTAGGTTGTCTACATACCGGAAGGTTGGTGGTTTAATCCCCGGTTCCACCTGACCAAGTGTCGTGGTGACCATGAGCAAGACACCTAACCCCAGCTGCTCCCGACGACCTAGCATGGCTGACACCTCCGTCAGTGTATAAATGGGTGAATGTGAGCCAAAATGTAAAGCACTTTGGTGGCCATTGGGTCTGTGAAAGCGCTATATAAATGCAGTCCATTTACCATTTACCTTCCATATCACTAGGTCTTCTGGGCTCTTCGCATATCTCCGAAGTCAGTCGCCATCCACCATCCATCAGTGTCTCCGTCGCCATAAGCCTCATCTCAGCTGGTCTTCCCCCTGGTCTGGCCTGACAAGTCTCCACCATGGCTCATCCCTCCCTCAACTCCACCCTGGACATTTGTCCCAGGATTCCTATTGTGGGTTCTGCCCTGGCTCCCCCTACCGTCGTCTCATCCCTGGCTTCCCCTACCGTCGTCTCATCCCTGGCCCCCCTACCGTCGTCTCATTCCTGGCTCCTCCTACCGTCATCTCATCCCTGGCCCCCCTACCGTCGTCTCATTCCTGGCTCCCCCTACCGTCGTCTCATCCCTGGCCCCCCTACCGTCGTCTCATTCCTGGCTCCTCCTACCGTCATCTCATCCCTGGCCCCCTACCGTCGTCTCATTCCTGGCTTCCTCTACCGTCGTCTCATCCCTGGCTCCTCCTACCGTCGTCTCATTCCTGGCTCCTCCTACCGTCGTCTCATTCCTGCTCCCCTACCGTCGTCTCATCCCTGGCCCCCTACCGTCGTCTCATTCCTGGCTTCCTCTACCGTCGTCTCATCCCTGGCTCCTCCTACCGTCGTCTCATTCCTGGCTCCCCCTACTGTCATCTCATTCCTGGCTTCCTCTACCGTCGTCTCATCCCTGGCTTCCCCTACCGTCGTCTCATCCCTGGCTTCCTCTACCGTCGTCTCATCCCTGGCTCCTCCTACCGTCGTCTCATCCCTGGCTTCCCCTACCGTCGTCTCATCCCTGGCTCCCCTACCGTCGTCTCATTCCTGGCTTCCTCTACCGTCGTCTCATCCCTGGCTTCCTCTACCGTCGTCTCATCCCTGGCTCCCCTACCGTCGTCTCATTCCTGGCTTCCTCTACCGTCGTCTCATCCCTGGCTTCCTCTACCGTCGTCTCATCCCTGGCTTCCCCTACCGTCGTCTCATCCCTGGCTTCCTCTACCGTCGTCTCATCCCTGGCTCCTCCTACCGTCGTCTCATTCCTGGCTCCCCCTACCGTCGTCTCATCCCTGGCTTCCCCTACCGTCGTCTCATCCCTGGCTTCCCCTACCGTCGTCTCATCCCTGGCTCCCCCTACCGTCGTCTCATTCCTGGCTTCCCCTACCGTCGTCTCATCCCTGGCTTCCCCTACCGTCGTCTCATCCCTGGCTTCCCCTACCGTCGTCTCATCCCTGGCTTCCCCTACCGTCGTCTCATCCCTGGCTTCCCCTACCGTCGTATCATCCCTGGCTCCCCCTACCGTCGTCTCATCCCTGGCTCCTCCTGTTATCTTCTCTGCCCTGGATCCTGTGGTCATCCTTTGTGCCAGCTCTGCATCCCCCACCTAAGCCCCCTCCCTCCCTCCTCTGTAAATGATGTTTGTTCATTAAGCGCAAAGTTGACTTCTTGATTGGTGGGGTGGGGGTGTCAGGGTTATCTTTATCAGTGTTTAGGGTATGTTTACATGACAATGATCTGCTTAAAACTAAAAAAAATTCCTTTGAGTCTTCTGTGTACAGGCATTGTCAAAATGATCCCCATTCACACAGATCCACGAAAACAACAAAAATCCCTTTAATCTGCTACCAGGCCATTAGATGGCGATGAAACACTATAGACTGAACACGTAATAAGACGTCATCATCTTCAGAGATTCACGTTTTTGTTGTTTATACGGAGAGCATTAACTCCTATTGGGCACCCAAAACGCTGTTGTCGTGTAAACAAATTGCCAAACGTTTTACGTTTTTAGGGTTAGGGTTAGGGTTAGGTTTTACGTTGAAAATGGTGTTGTGTAAACAGCCCCTCAGTCAACTGTGACATATGCTGTATTTTTTTTTTACTTTTGTGCCTGTGTCCCTGTGAGGTGGTCCTCACTGCAGAACACGAAATTCAGGGGGAGGAGTTGGATCTAGATCCAACTCCTCCCACCTTACATATACGGTACCCAAACTTACCCATCTCCGCCCCCTGATCCCTAACTCCAATCCTACCCATCTCCACCCCTGATCCCTAACCCCACCCCTTAAATTTACCCATCTCCGCCCACTGATCCCTAACCCCACTCCAAATCCTACCCGTCTCCGCCCCCTGATCCCTAACCCACCCCTAAACTTACCCATCTCCACCCACTGATCCCTAACCCCACCCCTAATCCTACCCATCTCTGCCCACTGATCCCTAACCCCACCCCTAAACTTACCCATCTCCATCCCTGATCCCTAACCCCACTCCTAATCCTACCCATCTCCTCCCCCTGATCCCTAACCCCACCCCTAAACTTACCCATCTCCGCCCCTGATCCCTAACCCCACTCCTAATCCTACCCATCTCCGCCCCCTGATCCCTAACCCCACCCCTAAACTTACCCATCTCCGCCCCCTGATCCCTAACCCCACCCCTAAACTTACCCATCTCCGCCCTCTGATCCTTGCTCCAACCAAAGGGACTTAAACACTTCCCAACTCGCAAATGCAAACTTCCCAAGAGGGTTTGAAAGCACTGAGACTTTAAGAGTGCAAGGATTTAAAACAGCAGATGACAAATTATAAGAGAATGTTATATTCCTTTGGTGTGGATGCTTATATTATTATAGCTATCTTTATAATTATCCAGGCCTTTAGAAGTTCGTATTTGAGACATATAGGATTGTTTTATATTATAATAGAAATTACATTAGCAACACATTAGCATTTTTAACAAGGGTCTGACTAATTATCACATGTCCATTACTCTCAAGAATAGATGAGAAGGTCAGAGAGGACATCGCTGCTGAAAGCCCAACTTGTTTCCTTGAATCAAACAATGTTTGATTCATAGTTCCCCATGAAAACTGAAATCAGAACTTGAGAAACCCGAGGAACAGTGTTGATGTGATTTCCTCACTCTCTGTGGAGGGGTTTGGTAGATATAGTGTAGCCGACAGTCAGTACTGCTTCACGTGCTCGCATTATCCATGGCCATGCTGCTCTTTCTGGTGCTGTTGAAATTCGTCCCAGCCAACTGTAAGTACTGAACACTATCAGGAGCTGACCATCTTTTTGCCTGCAGATTTAGCTTTCTAACAAGGAAATAAATTGACTCTTCCAGTATTTAAGCCTAACCTTTACTCAGTGTTTGGGTCAATAACATGATGTTAGTGTTTGTTTAGAATCGAATACACCTTTGATATGATAAGCAATAAGCATGTTTATATGCATTCTGATTTTAATACAGGGGCATTGAGTAAAAAAAATGCCAGGATTATAAAACTGTCATAATATCACAACAAAAAGGGCCTCACTAAACCATATCATTTTTGAAGGAAAAAAAGTAGTTTAGAATCATCTTTTTTCAATATTTCCTAAAAAAATGCTTCACTGCTTATTAATATTTTACATACTTTTGTAATAGTGGAGGATCACTGAAGACTGGAGTAATGATTACATTACATTTAACCTTTTTTTTTTTTGAAAACGGTATAATTTTTCGAAATCTTTTATTTTTATCATGGACATTCTTATTAAAAATGAAATTACCCATTTGATACACTGTAAAAAATGAACGCGCTTTTTCTAATCAGTAAAATTGTAGCAACAGATTACAAGCAATATTATTAATTAAATTGTACAAATTAGAATTGAGTAATAATTAATCAAATTATTCCTTAAAAGTTTACACCAAAAAATAAACAAAAATATCTGAATAACAGACAGACATCAAAGATTTATTAAGAAATCTTTATTTTATATTGCCAACATTGAAAACACTTGATGTTAACAAGCAGAATCACTGAAGGAGAAAACCATAATTTTAAAACAAATACTGATCAGCATAATGGTGACTTAAATGTACGTTTTTTTGTTTTTTTTTTAGTTTTACTCATTTTAAATGGTTAACTTTTAAGGAGTTAATTTGATTAATTATTACTCAATTCTAACGTGTTAAATTGAATTAATAATATTGCTTGTAATCTGTTGCCACAATTTTTTTGATTAGATAAAGCATATTCATTTTTAAACTGTAAGCATTGATCATGCACTGTATGAATCAATCAGATTGGCTATCATAAACCAACATTAGACAACATATCAATAATCAATAGCATATAGGCATTATATTCTTTTCGACTTTCAAGCTTTTCTTGAAAAGAACCTTTATTTAATAGAGATGCTCAGGGTGTCAAGCTTAATTTTGTCAGCTGTCAGTTTGAACTCAATGTAAATGAGATTAGGGTTTAATTTAATTGCCCTTTCACTGTCACCTTGAGTTCTGAGCTATTTGAAATCTTTGTTATATTGTTTTCCAGGTCTGGACTTTGTTCAGGGGCGCATCGTTGGCGGATATACCCCCTCGCCAAATTCAATCAAATACATAGTGTCGTTACAGAGCTCGAAAGGGCAGCACTTCTGTGGCGGATCTCTGGTCCACAAGTACTGGGTGCTTACAGCTGCCCATTGCAATATTGGGTGTGTGTTTTTTCACCTCTTCTTAAACAGATTCTCTGCCTGAACATGCTGTTTATGAGACTCACAGGGTGTGTAGCAGCAGAGGCCATGTGTGTGTGTCGAGTAATGCCGGACATGCGGTAACCTTGACCCGTCATCGCCGTGTGGTACTTAATGAATGCTGGCTTATCTGCCGCTTGGCATGGCTGAGCCTGCTAACAGGGACGAATACTGTCATTCAACTCATGTCCTCTACAAAGAGTATCAAGAAATCAGATACCAAGCATAAAGCTCCTTCTTTATATACAGTATTTACATTGTTTTGTAGTTAGAATGTCATTCAGAGGGTGGCGACTGTTTTTGTGCTTGTCTTTAAGGATGGATCGGATGATGCTGGTGGCTGGAGACTATACTCTGGGTGTTTATGAGGGGACAGAGCAGTACTCCAAGCCTCTATCTCTCATCCCGCACCCGCTGTACAACAGGAGCACCAATAATGCAGATATTATGCTCATAAAGGTACATGCGCTTTGGCTCTGGATTCAATACATCACTCAATAAAAAACTTTTGCTGATAATTTACTCACCCCCATGTCATCCAAGATGTCCATGTCTTTCTTTCTTCAGTCGAAAAGAAATTTTTCTCCTTATAATGGACTTCAATGGGAACCAAACGTTCAAGGTCCAAATGAGAGTTTCAGTGCAGCTTCAAACGGCTTTAAACGACACCAGACGATGAATAAGGGTCTTATCAAGCGAAACGATCACTCATTTAAAAAATAAATAAAAAAGTTTTAAGTTTTATAAGCACAAATGCTCGCCTTGCTCTGTTCTGTGATGCGTGTTCGTGACTCTCCTGTTCGAACTCGTTCATCAAAATGAACAAATCTTTTTTTAGAATCATTTTGTTCATTTCGTTCATTGAATTAACCAAATGACTCTAAAAAATATTTGTTCATTTTGATGAACGAGTTCGAACAGGAGAGTCACAAACGCTCGGCGAGCATTTGTGCTTATAAAACTTCAACTTTTTTATTTATTTTCGAAATGACTGATCATTTCACTTGATAAGACCCTTATTCATCGTCTGGTGTCGTTTAAAGCCCTTTGAACACTTTGCACTGAAACTCTCTTTTGGACCTTGAACTGTTTGGACCCCATTGAAGTCCATTATATGGAGAAAATCCTGGAATGTTTTCATCAAAAACCTTAATTTCTTTTCGACTGAAGAAAGAAAGACATGGACATCTTGGATGACATGGGGGCGAGTAAATTATCAGCAAAAGTTTTTTGTGAGTGTGTATGACTGAGAGAGTACAGTTCAAATCAATTAAATTTGCTTTGTAATGGACAATTTTTGCAACATGAGACTGTTATCAAACTGGATTGGATCACATTAAACAGACTAGGGGTGAATAACGACACTATTATCTGTTGTAGAGCTGCTTGTTGCTGAATTGAACTTATTTCATAATTGATGAACTGAATCAACGCTGAACTGACTTGAATAATGACTGAATAATGACACTATTGTCTGGAAGAGCTGCTTCACAGCAGAATTTGAATTTGTCTCATATTTAATGATGCTTACTTACAATATTAATTTGGTTATTTTCCTGTTTATTACGGTGAAGCTGCTTTGAAACAATATGAACTGTATGAAGCGCTATATAAATGAAGGTGACTTGACTTGAATTTGATTGGTCAATTATGGCAATTCTATATTACACTCAAAATATACATTTATACACTCAAAAGCAAAATATGCTGGGTTGTTTCAACCCAATTTTGGGTCAAATATGGACAAACCCAAATATTGGGTTAAATATGTAATAAAAAAATTTACATTTGTATGTGAAAGTTGAATTTGGTTTAAAATTTTAAATGACATTTTTAACCCAACATTTGGGTTTGTCCATATTTGACCCAAATTTGGGTTAACACAACCCAGCATTTTTGTGTATTTATATGCATGTATATATATATGAAGAGTTCAGATGTAAAAGCCTCTAAATGCCATTTGAAATTTTCTTCTAAAATGACTATTTTTATCAAGCTTGTATATTTAAGTTCAGTAATTTCACTTAAATGACAATTAATAGGTAATCTTAATTGCCATTTAAGTGAAATTACTGAACTTAAATATACAAGCTTGATAAAAATGGTCATTTTAGAAGAAAATTTCAAATGGCACTTAGAGGCTTTTGCATCTGAACTCTTCATATATATATATATTAAATAGAGACAGGCTACCATTGTCAGACCATAAAGATACAACATAGAGAAAAGTATTAAAAGGGAAAAATAAACACATTGAAATGTTTAAAAAATCTTGAGGTCCCATTTACCCTGTCTGAGTTACTTTCCCCCGACTGGACTTATTTCCATCATCCCTTACTTAATCAGATCTTCTTTAACCTGTTGGTCAATCAGTCAGAATCAAGTATTCAACAACAGTTCTGGTCCTTGAATGTGGTTAGGTGGCTTTCCACAAGTGCTCATTTGAGTCCAACAGTGCTGGAACAGTTTGTTTCAGTCCTGTCTGTGTTTGCGTGTTCAGTCACACTGTTTAAGGAGGCCATAAGTGGCGTCGCTGAGTCATCCACTGAGGTTAAGTGTGAAATTGCAGACTCTCTGAGGGCTTATTTAAAGTAACTAAATGTGACCATTGAAATTTGTAGTATGAATGAGATACGGACGTACTTCAACTGTCATGTGATCTGCTAGCATTTTATGAACATTGTGAATTCATACCTATAGCCTACTTCTTTTTTCACATATTGATTTCCACCTACTTTTAGTTGGGAAGTATGCGATTAGAATGACGGTGTGTGACACAACTGATGCTGTGAGGTCACATAACAGTGACAACATGAAGAATCCAATGCAGCCAGATCTCATAGAACATACTTTTTTAACGATCGTGTAGTACTTATTCATCAGTAACTTCTCAGAGAGTACACAATGTCTTTAACATCGGCATGAAACGTAAGTTGTGCTTGTCATTTGTGCTATCTTCCCTATTGTGACTTATGTCGGATTGAAACAGCTTCTCGAACAAGAACAAATGTAGGGCGGGACTTGATTTTGCCTGTGGGAAATTGATTGGATGGTTGTGGTTTGCTATTGGCCAAGCTCATGCGAGTGACAGGTTGCCCCGCCCTCACACCAGTAAACACATCAGAGAAGTAAGAGGGAGGGGAGGTTACAAGGCACATGAATAAAAAAAAACAACAATGATATGCACGGATTAATCATTGATATATTCCGTTAAAAAAATACAATCAGTTTTGATTCCATTTTGTTTTTAAGAAACTTTAAGGGTCATTGAATCATTCATTTAAATTCCCCCTGTAGTCTATTACAGTTTTTTTTACAGTCGCTAGGACACATTTGTCAATACTTAGGTCACTTTTTCAAAACTCTTCACACAGTGAGCACAACAGAAGTATATGTGGGCTAAACTGTGGATCAATTATCATTGCTTTGGCACAAAATACATTCAATGACTACATCTTTCAAATTACATTAATTCTTTTCTCACTTCGACACAACAACCGCCAAAACTCTGTGTTCCTATAGGCCAATTTGCATATGCTTACACACTGTTTTCAAAACTGTTAAACTTATGTTCAAAACAATAACATAATAAAAAACTGAATAAGACAGCAATTTGCTACATTTCTACAGTAATATTTGAATGAAATATATTTTGCATCTTAAAATTAAATGCTATAAAAATAAGTGGACAATTGGACCAACCACAGCTGATTCTCATTGTAGATGAACATCTACACAGGTGTTACTCTTTCTATTTCATTACAAAAGGAGACAACTGCTGAAGAGTTTTGTATTGTGCTCAGTGCAAAAAAATAAAAATAAAAGACATAAAATATATTGAAGCATTCTGCATCATGTCTGATTCATTCCAGTAAACTCTATTGCAGTGAATTATAAACAAAGATTGTATAATGTTGTTAGTGTTCTTTAGGTCATTGTTTTGTGGGTGACAAAGTGTGTTTGTTGGCTGTCAACCTTTGCTAGTGTTATGGAAGAATGTGTTGATTTGAGAAATGAATGAAGTGTTTTGGTAGTTTTAGTGCATTTTGAATGTGAAGTGAACTGCTGTGCTGAGCTGAAAGCTGGTTAGGAGACCTGTGTGAAGAGTTTTGAAAAAGTGACCTAAGTATTGAGAAATGTGTCCTAGCGACTGTAAAAAACTGTATTTCATCCATTAAAACTCATCTGTGATCACCAAAATTACATAAAATTACGTTTCCCGACTATGGTCGCAAGTTCCGTCGTTATCAGCATAGTTCAACGAGTCGGTGTTTCCCGAAACAATCGTTCCAACGAACATTCGCAAACAGCATCGGAAAGTTGTGTGGTTTGAACGACAGCTCTCGACCTGTGTTTAGAAGCATCGTTTCTATATTGCAACACATTTGGAGGTAATAAATCCTTATCTTGAGTAAAATAAGCAAGTTGACATTCAGTACAACCGGCGCCTTTTATTTAGAATACACACAAATGTAATTTACGTCTTTTAGTTTGTCAAAAGATTTGAAGTAACGTGTTTGAAGAGTGCGCATGTGCGAACGTGCTCTACTATGTAAGAACGAGCCAAATATTGAGTCTGGTAATAAAGCAGAACAACTGAGAACATTTAGAAATAGTCCACAGATGACATGTCTGTAATTTATATAAAACAAACCTAGCGTTAATTGGACCTCAAACAGTTTCATTAAAAGCAGTTATTACTCCACCACGTGCGAAACCAACGTGGTTGAACGATAGCTACTTTGCGACAGTGGGTTTCGGGAAACAGTCGTGACTAGCTAGTTGATTTCTCCAACGATGCATCATCGTACTATGGTAGTGAATCAGCAAACTGCGTCGTTGTACGGGAAACGCACCCCAGAATGGCTGTGATTTTTGGCTTTGCGTTCAGTGTGACCAGACACACTTGCTGACGCTGAGGACACGGTGTTATGCTTTGTAATAAATCAGTTTGATGACGATGTATGCTTTTACACAACCCTACATTTATTCATTTAGCTGACGCTTTTATCCAATTGCTATATATATCAGAGGTCGCACGCCTCTTGAGCAACTAGGGGTTAAGTGTCTTGCTCAGGTACACATTGGTGTCTCACAGCGGATTCGAACCCGGGTCTCTCACACCAAAGGCATGTGTCTGATCCACCTGATCTGTATATCTGTCTCTGGATGCTGGTTCTTTCAGCTCAGCGCACCTATCGAGCTGAACAGGTACGTGTCGCTCGCCCCGCTCCCCAAGCAGAACACAGGGCTGCTGGCGGGCCGGATGTGCCGGGTCTCTGGATGGGGCTCCACGAGTCACGGCGGGGGACTAAACCCTCTCACCCTGCGGACGGTCAAGCTCCCCATCGTCTCCACCTCCAAGTGCAACAGCAGCGACTCCTTCGGCGGAAACATCACGGCGAGCATGATCTGCGCGGGCTCCAGGGCGGGAGGAAAAGATGCATGTAAGGTACTGTGATAACCAGCAGCTCACATGCTTCATTATCCACGATTCAAGGCTTCACTGGGATGTTGGGCTTCTGATGTTCCAGGGGGACTCCGGAGGGCCGCTGGTGTGTGATGGACGGGTCTACGGCCTGGTCTCTTGGGGAAACGGCTGTGGGGATCCAAGGTTTCCAGGGGTGTACACGGCGGTGTCCCGCTTCCGCAGGTGGATTGACCAGACCATATACAGCCCGTACTCACGATGCATTAAGTCAGTTGGTCTTTTCAGCAGGGAAGACTAACCTTCTGTGTGTTTCTATTCATGCAACGTGCAAAACTACGCTCTTTAACTATAGGCACCTTTATCCTTGCGGACTTTTTTGGAAAATAAAGTCTCCTAAAACCTGCATTTCAAAATGTTTTTTTTTAATTATTATTATTTGGTGCACCAGGCGCCTTAGTGAGCCGAAGAGACTTCTTCCTACAAAAAAAATCTTACCAACCCCAAACTTTTAAATGGTAGCATAAAGTTGAAAAGTACTAATAAATGAAAGCAAATTAAAGGGGTGATGAACTGAGAAATCAAATTTTCCTTGAGCTTTTGACATCTAAGAGGTCATCATATTATAAGAATATCCTGTGAGTTTCAGAACTGAAAACGTCCTTGTTAGTCCAATAAAAGCTTTTATTGACACCAGACTCTAAAAACGACTCGTTTTTAAAAGTGGGGAACTATGACGACAAAGAGGATAAAACACCATCCCCACAGAAGATGATCAACGCCTACTTCACCACGGCAGGTTTAGCCCCGCCCACCGATTCGCACATTACACAAGTATCATACATGTACATGCTTACCTCGTGATGACAAACTGGATCGCTACCGAGCAATACAGAATATTGTGCAGTGCCTGGTTGTGCAAGACAGTCGCTGCATAAGCTTCCTCTGGATTCCAATAGGACTGCATGGATAACATTTATTTTTAATGACGTTCCAGCTGATGAGGTAAAACATCGTCGTCTGTTCGCTTCATTTCACTGAGGATTGTTTTGTCAACAAGACTGGATTTGCAGACCGATTAAAGTCCCCGTGAAATCAAAATTGAACCTACTTTGTTAGCCCATATTACCCCAGATAGCAAACTGACATTGAATCAACGTGGAAATATGACATCGAAACAACGTTGATCTGACATTGTTTTGCTCATCGAATTAACGTTGAACCAACGTCAGATGCGTCATTCTTTCAAAACTAACGGAAAATCAACTTGAAATCAACGCGTTGTTTCAACGTTATAAAAGCAAACCAATTTTCGATTTCATTTAGCTTTGAAGAATGCCGCGTCTGACGTTGGTTCAACGTTAATTCGATGAGCAAATCAACGTTGTTTCAATGTCATGAAAGACGTCGTTTCCACGTTGATTCAATGTCAGTTTGCTGTCTGGGACTAGTCTTGTGGTGAACAATTAATCCGTGCAAGTGAATATATATTAAAAAAATGTTTTACCTTAGTAATCTTTAATCAAAATCTGAAAAGTTACTTCCGGTCTGGAACGGTTTCTTTTTTTCTGATGACGTAGGCTTCACAGTTTGGGTGGGTAAACGCTTAACCACTCCCCTCAAACCGTTAGTTTGCTATGAGCGAGAGATGGAGAGGAGGAGCGCTAGAGTAAAACCCTGCCCCTCTGTTCAATATTCCGTTTCACTTGGAAATACGTCACTGCACTGGAGAAAAATCGTTTGCAACTTCCGGTTCACGGGGACTTTAAGAGTAAAGAACGGTGCTGTGCCGTCTATATTGGATCTGACAGGAATATTGTGCAACACACCTCTGGGTTGAACATGTATATTGGGCGAATCCGGTTGCCATTTGACAACATTGGACGTTTTCCCCCACATACACCGACGGGTGAGTGAAACTCATTATAATATGCAAAACTGTTCTCCTCTCACAGCAGTGGGTGTTTACTTAAGTCTTCAGTGCGACACGCCCATAACTGTTTTTTAGGTAGGCTCACAACCAGGGCACAAAATAGCCTATTACTTGTTCATTTTTATGTTTTTGAATGCAAAAACCAAGCGAACGTTATAAGTTGACCTCAGACAACAATAATAACATTTAAAAAGCCAGTTCATGATGTAAATCTAATGTGAAGACCTCTTGAAACTACAATATGCTTACAAAGTGAAGTAGTGTGATGTTGGATCCCTTTCCTATAATTATTTGGGATAATTACAAAAATATCATTTTAATATCAGTTAGTACCTCTTTAAAATGCTCATTTGCTTGGGAAAAATTCCAAAGGATATTAAATGCCGTTTGTTTAGCTCAAATGATGTGAACGGGAAGCTATAAAAGGATTTGACGTTGTACTGTACATGTAACAAAGGATGTTTGCACATTTAATAGGAATGGGTGTGTCCGAGTTCCTCTTCTCTGGAGGTGGCATTAGTTCCAGGAGCTTTTGGTTTCACTGCACACGACACCACATGTAAGATGATCGCTGCATGACAGGCCCCATGTGAACCACACAGTCATTCACGCCACTTTATGTGTGGATGAATACTCACTTTCTCATAATAATACCTTTTATGTATCCGGGGCATCGTTCATTACATAATTAAAAATAATAGGTAACGTGGAGCGTAAAGGGTTAAACCAACCAACAATAAGGTGAAGAATGGGAAGAAAGAGGTTTGAGAGGTGCTAACATGTTCGGAATAATCTGATGAATTTCTGAAGAGTGTTTCATGGGAAATAAAGTGCACACACGCTTAAAAGAAAGGGCTGTCAAACGATTAACCTTTTAAGGTTCTATATAGAATTAGGGCGGTCAAACGATTAATAATAAAAGTTTGTGTTTACATAATATATGTGGGTGCGCTGTGTATAATTATTTTATATATATAAATACACACACATGCTTGAATGTATTTAAGAAATATTTTCATGTAAATACTGTATATAGATTTATATATAATTTATATTTCATGTAAATATAAATATTTTATATATAAATAATATTTTTTAAATAAAATATACATGTATGTATGTGTGTGTATTATACATATATACAAAATAATTATACTCAGGGCACCCACATATATTATGTAAACACAAACTTTTATTTTGGATGCGAATAATCGTGATTAATTATTTCCCAGTTCTATATAGAACCTTAAAAGGTTCTATCAGCGCTACATATTTGGAACCCCTAAAAGGTTCTATACAGAAGCCTTTTTAATGGTTCAATAATTTCTTTGTAACCAGGAAAAGTTTTATGTGGAACCTTTTGGGTTCATTCATTATCATTTGTTTTGTCTTTTCCGGATTAAATATTTCATATTATTGACAAACATCAAGACCCTAAAATGTATTTATTCAAGATATGAAATTCAAGATATGGGGGTTAGAAAATGTCTATATTTATATCATTTTATGTAGTTAATCAATATCACACGAAGAGTGCCGTTTCAGTTTTTCTCCTCCAAAAATCAGCATGATTAAAATGTGATATTAAGTTATTACAGTTTAATAAACAATAATTTAATTACAACTACAAAATATTGCAGAATTATGTAATATATGAATGAATAATATATTGTGCCAAATGTGTTCTTTCTTGTCATTATAGAACCTTTTTAGCATAAAAGGTTCTTTGGATTTGAGTAAAGAACCCTATGAACCATTTTTTCTTAGAGTGTACAGCATGTTCCCACAGCACAAGCATTGTGAATAAATATGACACTGAAAAATGAGCAAATATTAAAGAATAAGGAGTAATTTTGTATGCCAGGCTCCGTTTACAAAAATATTTAGCATGTGCAGAACTTGTGACTGACGTGATACTTACTGTATATGACCTTTTCTTATAAGTTGACCAGTATTCATTTTGTTATGTGAAATATACCATAACATATTTTGGGTACGTATATGGCTGCAATGTTGTGGTTGTTGTTGTTTTTCTTTTTTTTCTTTTTTGGTTATTGAGGTTTACACCAGTAACACTTCCTTCCAAGCGTTCACTTTAGACATTCTGCGGACTATATGCAACTCCATGTCCATTATTATCCTTATAATCATAAACTGTCTGCCTAACATATGCTGACACTTTTTGAGTATCATCAACACACATTTTACTAAGTAACTTTGCAACTAATGCTCTGAGAGTAGTTGCAAACTTATATTTATCGAATATTACAGTCTATATTAAAAATTATTTATGTGTAAACATCTTTATTTTATTTTATTCATGTACACTCGTAAACTTTAATCGAAATAACTTCCCCTCCTTCTCTGATGATGTGTTTACTGGCACGAGGGCGGGGCTATAACCTGTCACTCACATGAGATCCACCAATAGCAAACCAAAAAATGGACAAAATCAAGCCCCGCCAACATTTGTTCTTCATTTCACTCGGATACGTCACAATAGTGAAGAAAAGACTAGCCCAACTTCTGATTCATACCAACTTTGAAAGGGAATATGAAATGCAGCCAGTATCGTTTGATATTGACATCAGAGACTGCGATTCCAGTCACACTCAGTTGAGAATCACAGCTGTAGTCCATCAACACGTCATTTCAAAGCCCGTCTTCTTCATGTTTCCTCTCAATATTGAACTGTCTGAAGCCTCAGTGTTCAAATGACATCTCTGGAAAGAAATAGGCTGTTTTTAGCAAACCAAGACGACGCACCAACTGAACTGTGTTCACCATTTCAGCCATTCGGATCAGACAGAACTGAACAAAATGGCCTCTCGTTCATTCACAGATGGGAGGAAGCAGTGCATCTCGCTTCTGTGCTGGATGGATATGTCAATGTCTGCAGCTCAGGCCTGGAAAGGTTGTGACTATGCCCAGTGCAGAAGATTATGCTCTCCGAATCTTGGACAGAGCAACAAACCCCCTCAGCTCATATCCAGATTTTGCCAGTACGACTTCAGCATCATTCCAGTGTCTGATATTACAGAATGAAAACCTATGCACAGAAGGGGAGAGGGGGGCATCACATACTGCTTTCTCTGGTGATTTGCAGGCGTGTTTTAATATCATATTCTGTGTTTGCTCAAGCTTTGACTGGAAAACACGTAATAAGGATGAAATCACCAAGTAAAGAACATTTCGGCTCTTTCTACAACTAAGATATGAAGTCTTACAAAATGTAAATGGCATTTAGATAGATAGATAGATAGATAGATAGATAGATAGATAGATAGATAGATAGATAGATAGATAGATAGATAGATAGATAGATAGATAGATAGATAGATAGATAGATAGATAGATAGATAGATAGATACAGATAGACAGACAGACAGAGAAACGGACAGAGAAATGGACGGACAGACAGAAAGAGAAACAGACAGACAAACGGACAGATAGATAGATAGATAGATAGATAGATAGATAGATAGATAGATAGATAGATAGACAGACAGACAAACGGATAGATAGATAGTTAGACAGACAGACAGAGAAACAGACAGACAGACAAACGGATAGATAGATAGATAGATAGATAGATAGATAGATAGATAGATAGATAGATAGATAGATAGACAGACAGAGAAACGGACAGACAAACAGACGGACGGACGGACAGATAGACAGACAGACAGACAGACGGTTCTTGACTTTATTCAGAGGGAGATTTTTTTGTTTGTTTGTTTGTTTGTTTTTTGTCCAGGAT